TAATTTTTACATGGAAAAGTCAGACATATTTCAAAGAACTTGAGGAAAAATTAGTTATTATATTTGCCCAGATATTTACCATTTCTGTTGATTTCTTTCTTCATTCCTGAAGTTCCAAGATTCTCTCTGCTACTATTTACCTTTTGCCTGAAGAACTTCCTTTAGCATTTCTTTTTGAGCAGCTCTACTGGTTAAGAATTCTTAGTTTTCCTTCACGTAAGAATATCTTTATTTCATCTGCACTTCTGATAGTCCTAATGGATATAGTATTCTAGATTGACAGATACTTTCAGCCTTTAAAATTTTTCCAGTCAGATGGGCTCCGTGGTTTCTGATGAGAAATCTGTAGTTATTCAAATTGTTGTTACTTTATATGCAACAAGTCACTTTTCTTTGGCTGCTTTCAAGATAAAACTCTTCAGTTTCAGTAGTCAATGGTGTGTCTTGATATGGTTTTGAGTTTATCCTATTTGGGGTTTACTGAACTTGGTCACTCTTTAAATTTGTATCTATCACCAAATTTGGGACATTTTCAACCATTATGTGTGAAAAGTTTTTTTTTTTTACGTCTTCCTCCTTTTGCTGGGAATCCATTAACACATATATTAGATCTTTTTTTATATTGTCCCACAAGTCCCTGAGGCTGTTTGTTTCCAGACATTTTTTTGTCCATCCACTGTATTTTTCATTTCAGTTACTTTCAAATTCTATAACTTCTAGTTCATTTCAAGAGCATTTGCCCTTCATGGAGTATGGTTATAATAATGAGAGCTATAAAAAGCTCTAATGTCTTTGTCTTTTTCTTATTATTCGAACATGTTAAAATTGACATGTTTTCTTTTCCCTTTAGAGATTTTCCTGGCTCTTTGTATGTTGAGAATAATTTTGTATTGTATTCTGGACATTTTGCATATTATGAGAGTCTGAGTCCTGTTTTTTTATGTGTGTGAGGAAGATCAGCCCTGAGCTAACATCCATGCTAATTCTCCTCTTTTTGCTGAGGAAGACCGGCTCTGAGCTAACATCTATTGCCAATCCTCCTCCTTTTTTCCCCCCAGAGCCCCAGTAGATAGTTGTATGTCACAGTTGCACATCCTTCTAGTTGCTGTATGTGGGACGCAGCCTCAGCATGGCTGGAGAAGCGGTGTGTCGGTGCACGCCCGGGGTCCGAACCCGGGCTGCCAGTAGCAGAGTGCGTGCACTTAACCGCTAAGCCACAGGGCTGGCCTCTGAGTCCTATTAAAGTCCTCTATAGAATGTTTTTTTTTTAGCAAGGAAATAATCTGGCTAGGTTCAGACTGCAGTGCAGACCTGCCCTCTGGCTGTGGTTCTGATGTCAGTTATTTTCCAAGCCTGTGCTGTGCTATTTGGGTCTACACCTGTTTGCACTACTAGGGGCCAATCTATGTTAGTTCAGTTAATAATGCCTCTGCTTCCTCAGGTCAGTTCCAGGCACATGTAGCTCAGGGTGAGCCCAGGATGTCATGTACAGCTTTAGGAGATCTTTTGCTAACTTCCTCTCTGCCGTGATCTCGCCTGCACGCCCCATCTCCCAGGCGCCTCTCTTCCTGGTCCTTTGGCTGAGCAGCTTAGGTTTTTGCCTCCCTGTGATGCTGCATTCTCCCCGTGACTGGGTCCCACTTGAGGCCAAAGTAGTGAGAAATAGAGAAAAAAGTGCTGGATTCTCCCCCACCCAACCCATCTTCTTTGGACCGCAGAGGCCTCCTTTCCCAGTTCCTCTTCTTGAAGTAAAGGCTTTTCTCCGAGTCCTCAGTCTCCAGGGCAACTGCTTACAGGTGTACAGCTTCATGGTTTCCCTACTGTCTCTGTCTCGCAGGGGCCCCTTCCCAGTGCTCTGGCCACAGTGAGAGGGAGAGGCCTTCTCTTGGGTCTCCTGATGGTCATCCCTATTGTGTGGTTCTCATAGGCTGTCCTAGTCTATGCCAGGAGATACAAGAGGGAAAAACACCCAGGAAAATCATCGCCATTTGGTTGTTCTTTCGGTTTTAATCCCCCACCCCAATCTGTCTGCTATTTGTCTTTCAGAGGACTGAGATAGTTGCTTTATTTATTCTGTTAACAGTTGTTAGTTGTAACGACTGGGAGACACAGGGCAGAATATGCTTACACCACTGGGACCTCTGAAGGACATTTCTAAAATCAGGAGATCTGTGCCCACAAGTTTAGTCATCTCATCAGAGGTCACCCGAAACCCATGTTAAAATCTAATGTTTTTATGGCTGTGGACGTAAACACAGAGGCAGCAACGAGGTATACTGATCTAGCACAGTCTTCCAGACACCTGCAGCGCATACAGGACTGCAGTTTAAGTCAGTATATACTACGGGTTCTTTCACCTCCCTCTGTTTAGGCCTGAACTTACTATATAGTGACTGCATGTAGGTTCACAATGTGCCCCAATGTGTTCGTTACAGATGAAATGTGGCCCTAAATGTGGGCTTCCCTAAAAGAGTTAACAGGGCTTTTGCTACATGAAAGACCTCTTATCAGAGGTGCTGAATCATTTCCTATAGCTGAAGGCTGCCTCCCCTCAACATCTCTTTTTCTTGGATAAAGCTAGGTTATCTTCTAGGATAGCTGTCACCTCTTCTTGGACTGTTTAAATTCAGCAAGGTGAACCTAATGAATTACCTGAGTAGATCTTCCTGAGACAGAACAGAGGAGTAAAGACTGTTATCACATCTTAAAGCATCTATCAATACAACATAGACAACCGATCTGAAAAAAACAATTACAAGTGCTTCCTTTGTTAGGAGAAACAGTCTCAGTATACCATGAGCAGTTCTTTTATGCTAATGTGAATTTTTTTAAAATAATTTTATTTATTTATTTTTTCTCCCAAAGCCCCCGTAGATAGTTGTATGTCATAGCTGCACATCCTTCTAGTTGCTATATGTGGGACACGGCCTCAGCATGGCTGGAGAAGCAGTGCATCGGTGCGCGCTGGGGATCCGAACCTGGGCCGCCAGCAGCGGACCGCGCGCACTTAACCGCTAAGCCGTGGGGCCAGTCATTGTGAATTGTTTTTAAGTCAGGGCATCAGGGTAGGGAACGTAACACTCCATAGGAACTCTCTGTCTTTGAACACTGAATTTTAGCTTCACTGAGCTCCAAAAAGGGCGTTGGTGTCATTATTTTCAGTCCTCCTCCTTCCCTTTACTACCAGGGATTAGTACTGAAATGCTTTAGCAAAGCTTCAGGACACCAGCAATCCATACATACCACAGACCTCTAGTGGCTGGACGAGCAGACTGTTGCAGGGTGGGAACCTGATTAGCCACGTGCCTCTTTAGACAAAATTTTCATCTCATGAGAGGATATATCTCAAGTTGTTTGCAATGATCTTGATTCTTAGATTGAGGGGAAAGTCTGCAGAAGAAACAGTAGCGACAACCACAACCTCAAAGTAAGTTCTGAAACTCCACTGTCACAGATAACAATCAGCAAGACCTCGTTACCACTGCCTGGGACCCCGTCCTTTCTAGCGGTGGAGTCTACACTACTGTCATCACAGCCGCCCCTGTGCACATTTGCTCCGTGCTCCGGGCCTTTGGTGTGCTCAGAAAAGAGCATCAAGTAAAAAGGAAATGCCTGCTTAAATTTATCAAAATGACAATGATACTCTGTATTCACTTAAAATTAATAAAAATATTTTATTGAATTTCAGGAATTTGGTACTTTTAAAATTTCAAATTTTTGCACACAAATCACCACTATACTTTCTAGAATAGTGGAAGTTAGGACTTGAAGATTGTCACTTATCTCCTTGTGTCACATAGCATAGAAATCCCAAGTCCTGGCACCGCACCACCCTCTTCTGACTGTGACTCCCATCTACTCTGTTGTTCTAGCAGAGGACAGCGATGGGAGGGCTGGTGTATTGAAGGAGCTCAACTGTCTGTGTGGGGACTCGACCGATGCAAGAGGAAGGTCAACCCCAAATCCACGCACAGACACCTTGGAATGCACCATGTCATGTGGATCAGATGTGAGTTTCCCTTTTGTACTTTTGTTTGATTCAGGGCCAAGCTGCTGAAATGAAGTTTCTAGTCCCTCAGGGAGTGCAGAAGTTTGGCAAGGGTCAAAGTAGAGACTTCTTGAAATAAGACACTTAGGAACTGCCAGTAGACAGCTAGGAGGGAGTTCAGTGCAACATGTCTGTTGCCGCGGCACCAGGCATGGAGCAGGGAGGCAGGGACACAAGCTCAGTGGCCCCTGGCATGTGGAGGACCCTTGGGAATTCAGAGCTAAACTGAAAAAATTTTAAAAGTGCCTGGGACACGGTAGTTTGCTAATCCATGTTTTTTTTTCCTGCCCTCTCCTTGATATTCTTAAATTTCTATGCACCAATCAATGAGCCAACTGAATAAGGCAGTGAGAAGGAAAAAGGAAAGAGATGCCCTCACCTCTGAAAAAGACACACTCCAGCTGCTTTACAGCAAAAAACTATTCTCTTCTTCAAAATTTGAGAACTGGCTATTTTTCTTATCTATAATCACAGCAGAAATCCCTCCAGACCCATAAATTCTAAGTTTTAGGCTCAGAAATAACCAATTGATGGATTGGGCTTATGTGGGGAAAATCTACTCGAGTCTTTCTGGATGGTGACAAGTTCACTGCTATGTAGACACGTCTCCAGGAGGACATACACTGCATTTGCTAAGTGTTGCCCAAGCCAATCTCTCCACTGGGGTGGTCTAGTCCATTCATCTACCTAGAGCTCAGGGTCAGGGGGCTGTGGCAGCCGTGACCAACACGTCTGGACCACTCAGTGGAGGGACCCGACCACACACAGGACACAGCGCAATCTGAATTATTTGCAAACTGCAAACCTTTTGAGTAAAAAGACAAATAAAAATGTACATTCCAAGGTATCTGTAAAGTGCCTGGAAGATGCAGATTGCTGCCCTGAGGTGCTCTGATCCATCCGAGCTTTAGCTTGCAAGCTAGATTTTGCGACTATCATACACGTGGTCTCATTCACATGATGGTTTCATTTTTATTTTTTAAATGGCTGAGTTATAAATCCAGCTAGTGTGCAGTAATTTCATAATTTTTAATATGCGTTATCTGCAGTAACATTGTGACAGCTCCATACTGTGGATTGACACACAATACTTAGAACAGATTTATCATATTTGGTCTTCAGGTAAATAATAAATGTTTTAAAATTGCCTAAATATACCATTCTGAGCCGTTTCATTCCACCAGGAAAATACAGATTTTTTTCCCTCTCTTTAAAAAAAAATTAAATACCAAAATAACTACATTTAAATAAATAACGTTATAATGATGACATTTAAAAATTCACAATAAGGCCAAAGCCCTCTTTCTATTTGCATGGCTGCTCAGCCCTGACCCTCGGAACACTCTGGAAAGGTGAGTGGTTTTCTTCTGGAGGAGCATGGGCTGAGGTTGCAGGGCCTCCTACTTCTCATTCTCTCACCTTTGTTTACTTTCCTCTCGCTTTTATTTTTGTAGGAGAGGTCAGCCTTAATATGGGATTCAGTTCTGAAAGGTTGAAGGGAATTTCCTACTACAAATCAGAAAACGACCTAGATGTTTCCAATGCTGAACCACAGGGCGCTTGCTTCCAACCCCTCGTGCTATCATGCAGCTTCTGCTCCACCCCAGCAGCTGCTCTCGCCGTGAGCAGGGCAAATGCAGTGTAGATAGCTGGTTGGGCGATGCCGAGAGCTGGTGACGGCACCTAAAACAACGATCATGCCCCAGAAAGATCTGTGACATTTGTTTGAAAGGGTGTGTGATGAAAGACTGAATCTTTTTCCAGATGAAAGAGTCATAGTTCTGTTGTTTGAAACACACAAAATACTCGGGAGACTTACTTTACTTAGAGTCAACACAAATAAACAAACAACAAAAAGTAGCAAGAAAGAGAACCAGTTAAGTGCAGCTCCTTGAGGCCGCTAGTCCGGCAGGAGTCCGGAGTCCTTTCCGTTGTGTTTCCGTGCAGACCGCGGGCGTCCGTCTGTCATCGTCCGTCACTGAAACGGAGGTGGATTAAATTCATCTGGCACCTGCTCTAACACGGAAAATTCGCAATGTCACCAAGTAGCTCCATCTGAACTTTAACAGGACAGACAAAAGTAAATCATTCCATAGGCTGAAAACAAACAATAAAAACAAACAAAACTACGTTGTTTCTTTTCCCCAAATGAAATCCACACGAATGGTCCTGTGTGATTCCAAAATTTCCAGAGTAGAAATGGAGTGATCTGAAATGTCAAAGACCCCATTATTTTGTAAAGAAAGAAAGTACACCTCAAGATATTCTAATTCCACATGTGAACAAAATACTGTCTCATCTACCAGTGCCAGCCCTGCAGGTCCTCTGAGGGTGGCAGGGTGGCTCCTGCCCCATCCCCTAGAGGGGGCCCCTGTCCCAGCAGATCCGCTTTGCACCAGGCGCCATCCTCACTCGGAAGGTCTGTGAGTCTTTACTCGGAGTTAAAAGCTGAGCGCGGGGTGGGGAGACACTGCCAGAACCAGGTTTTGTTGCATGTGTTTTGTTCAATGTGACTTCTGTCTTTAAATTAAGGAGTTTTAAGGCCACCTGGGTTTTGTGTTTTCAGTGCTGAGGTGACGTCCAACCGCAGGGCCCTCTACCCACCGAGAGTATGCGCTCCGAGCGTCGGTGAGAGGCAGTGTCTCCTTTTGGCACCACAGAGTTGATGTTAAGGGAAGAAAAGCTCTCCCAGTCGCTAGTTCTGGACGCCCTTCTCCCTCACGGCTGCCGGCGGCGTGTCCACACTCAGGGCAATGACAATACTCTTGCCATCTTCGGTCTTGACTCGCTTCAGCTCCGGCTGCTCTGACTGGTCGCCGTTCTGGCGCTTTGTGGGCAGGGAGGCTGACGCCGATGCATGTGTCGCCAGCATGTGCAGAGGACTCGCTGCTGCTGCAAAGAGACAATGAGTCAGATCCCATGCTCTTGGGTGAACCCTCACCCCCTGCTGGAGCCCCATGAGACCTCAGGCACCCACCGCCTCCAGACTCTGCCCAGAGGGTTGGCTTCTCTGTATGACCGTGCATGGCCTGCAGTGGCCAAGGGCACCAGAGCCTGGACTGGGCCCCTGGGGACCAGAAACCCTGTAGCAAGTTAACTGTGTGATCAGTGGGTATTTTTATTAATAGCTGGCATCTTTTTTATTAGTTCAACAAGTGAGTTATCTTGACAGAACCCCAGGGGAAAGTGAGGCTCAGGGTCAGGCAAAGGTGGTACAGACAGCAGATGGCCTTACTGTTGAGGCAAAGGGGCTACTGCCAGCGTTCTCCCCTGTGCAGAGGCCCCTCATCCCCAACCTCCATGCTGATGCTCCCAGATTACTTCACACAAGAGGAGGGAGCAGAGCATGTGGCTGAGGCTAACCACGAATCACAACGAGCAGAGCCCTGGGCTCTGCCTGTTCATCTCCTTCTGAGTTGCATGAATCTAGAGAGTTTATGAGCAGACATGTGCCCACGAGCCCCTGGACTGGCTTCTTGGCTTCTCCTTGGCCCCACCTCCACCGCCAAACCCTTCTTCTCTCAAGTCTTCACCACGGAGAGACCCTCCCTCCTCGTGGGCCCACGTGGGACTTCCCTGGCTGGGCACAAGGGCCTCTACCACTCCAGCCCTCACCTGTCCCACGCTCCGCACAACCAGGCAAATTCCAGGAGATGAACAAAAGAAGGGTCAGTCTGACTCAAGAAAGTGCCACTTCCTCAAAGTGAGAAGGCAGGACTGGGCTGGAGAAGAGGCCTGGAGCCACTCCACACAGGCTGAAGGAGAGGGGTCCTAGGAGGCACAGCATGCCTCATGACCACTCACATGACCCGGAGAAGCAGCATCCTGTCCAGGGAGACCCCTGCCCTCCCATTCCTCGTACCGAGGGAGGTTTAAGACCAAGGCAACGGATGACCTAATGGGGGTCTTACCCACAGAAATACATGCGTGCCCAAAAGAAGCCTGGAACAGCAACCCTTGTCTCCTGAACATGCCTGAGTCCTTTGGTCTGACACAGATGCTGTCCGGCCACACTGATGTTACTAAATTAGATGTTAATGCTGTCATTGGTAGAACTCACAAATAGGTTTGCTTTACGTGCCGCCTAAGAGCTTTAAGCATAAGGAGTTTATACCCAGCTTTACGACTCTAGGTGTTTTCATTTTAATACATTGCTTTGGCTGGCATGAGGGAACTGCAGAATTTCCTCCCAAGAAATGGAACTTGAAGCTAAGTAAAGAGATGATGCAGGGTATGCAAAACGAGAGAAACATGAAGTCATGAGATACACGCTGAACTCCAATCCTGCTAGGAGGCCAGTGGCCCCATCCTCATCTCCAGATTCAACACCATCCCAAAGTCCCAGCAGGCTTTTGTGTAGGAATCTAAAATTCACGTGGATCAATTATACCTTGATAAAGCTGGAAAAAAAAAAAAAAATCATATGGCAATGCAAAGGACCTAGAATGGCCAAAACAATTTTTGAAGAAGAACCAAGGGGCCGGCCCAGTGGCGCAAGCGGTTAAGTGCGCATGCTCCACTGCGGTGGCCCGGGGTTCACTGGTTCGGATCCCGGGCGCGCAACGACGCACTGCTTGGCAAGCCATGTTGTGTCAGCGGCCCATATAAAGTAGAGGAAGATGGGCACGGATGTTAGCTCAGGGCCAATCTTCCTCAGCAAAAAGAGGAGGATTGGCAACAGATGTTCACCAAAAGAAGAAGAAAAAAAAAAACACCATAGAAGAAAATTTTAGCGACCTTGGGTTTGACAAAGATCTTTTTTTTCCCTCATCTGCTGCTAATCTTCCTCTTTTTTTTTTCCTGAGGAAGATTGGTTCCTCCTCTATTTTGTATGTGGGACACTGCCACAGCATGGCTTGATGAGTGGTGCATCGGTCCACGCCTGGGATTCGAACCTGTAACCCTGGGCTGCCAAAGCAGAGCATGTGAACTTAACCACCACTGGGCTGGGCCTGACAAAGATCTTTTACATAATCTACAGGGGGAAAAGGGGGCCAGAAACTTCATAGAAAAAAAAAAAAGTCAAACTAGGCTTAACAAAAATGTATATGTTTTGCTCTTCAAAAGACATTATTAACGAAACAAAAAAGCAAGCCCCAGACTGGGATAAAATATTTGCAAACTATATATCTGACAGAGGACTTGTGTCTAGAATACATAAAGAACTCTTATAACTCAGTCAAAAGGAAACAACTCAATTTTTAAAATGGGCAAAAGATCTGAACAGACATTTCACCAAAGATAGTCAGATGTCAAATAAGCACATAATAAGATGCTCAACATCAGTAATCATTAAGAAAATACAAATCGAAGCCAATAAAAAAAACTAGAATGGCTACAGGAAGACTGACTACACCAAGTGTTGGGGAGGGTGTGGCACAGCTAGAACTCTCATCCATGGCTGGTGGGAATGGAGAATGGTATAACCACTGAAAGACCATTTGGCAGTTTCTTAAAAAGTTAATTCTACATCTACCATATGACCCAGCCAGTCCACTCTTAGATATTTACCCAAGAGAAATGAGAGCATTTGTCCACTGTGGAAACTGAGCATAGTGGACCCATAGGAGGAGTGCTGAAGGGGCAACCATCGGAGGTTCTGACGAAGAATTATGAAAACAGAACATAAGAGTGAGCTCAGTGTCACTGATGATACAAATTTAGAATCTCTGACTTTCTGCTAAAAGCAGCTAGAATCCCAGATAAACAGCTGAAAAGCCACACTGCTTGGCAGCCATGTGCTGGCTCCCTGCATGCATTCGGGTTGTGTTTTTTTCCCTCTTAATCAATAAGCTAGTCCTGTGTCTATGAACTGGTGAGTTCCTTTGGGTCTCGATTCTCCTGTTGACCCCAACAACTGGAGAAAAGGATGGGATTCCCTGAGTGAGCCCTCCCAGTGGCCACCTCAGGTCAGCTAAGAGACTGCCCTGTGTACTGAAGTCTCCCTTCACCTGCTTTGGTGCAACAACATTGCGTTCCCAGAGAAAATACCAAACCCTCACTACAAATTTCAGTTGTTATTATTAAGCAAAATGGTAATACAGTTTTAAGGTCTGGTTTGTGAGAGGCCTGGAATGCTGCCAGGTCTCGCTCTTCCAAGGCTGACCCCTCATTGTCTTGGGTTTGGAAGAACACACTCATGAAACCCTGCTGTGCAATGACCAAAGGAAGCTCTTCTGAGGCAGAGAGATGGGTGCCCTTGCGGGAATTTTTAGAAAAACCCACCCCAAAACAAATAGATTATTGGCAACTCTGGAAATAAATGAAAGAAAAAATTGGGTGGACATGAAGAAAAAGCCAAGACAGTGACGAAGGGATTCTGAGACTGAAAGTGCTTGCTCCTGCTCCAGGCCTCACTCTCCACACGGCTCCTTCTGCTCTATCTCCATCTGGAATTTGGAAGGAGGGGCCGCTGGCCTCTCGGGTACAGGGTTCCCAGTGGCCATGGGACCCAGCAATGACTTCCCTTGGGAAAGAGGAGAACTGCCAGCCTTATCAGTGTCCTGATGTGGGGCCACCAAGTCCTGATTTCACCATCAAGCCTCCCCCAAACATGGGAAACATGACCGGGGAAGCAACACTGATGAAGAGGCAAGAACAGAGGAACGGAGGAGCTCTGGTTGCCCTGGTAACTTGCGAGAGAGGGAATGAAAAAGCAGTCAGGCTCTAGAAGGCAAGCTGGCAACACAACTCCAGGGGTGTATGACCCGACTGACTTTTCAACCCACTCAAGAAAATGAGCCCTACCCCTTGGTATCTGGCAACTCAATGCCTCCAGGAAGGTGCAGAGGAGCACGGAGCCGGCGCGAGGGGAGGGTGTCACCATTGAAGAGCTCCTTCCCACTGCCCCGGGTGTGGGGACGTGCACTGGCTGCTGCACAGGCTGCTGGGCTAATGGAATGATGCAGGGGCTGCCAGGGTGAGCCACCAGCGCAGGAGGCAATTCTGTAATTTAGACCAACCTTTCTTGTTGTACCCCAACTCAGAAAAACATCCGAGTTGTGGGTATCTTTGGACCACTTTCAATCTGCTTTTTCTCATACTCACAGGGACCTCAGGCATCAGTGCCACGTTGCATACTCATAAGACAACACCCATCCGACTCGATTCTCACCAGACCAGCTGTGGACAACTAAGAGCTTTCAGATCCTGGCCACCTGGGTGACCACATGGGCGTGGCCTCGACTTCATCTGCTTCAGCTACTGGGCCTATCCCGACACTCGCTTCGTGCTCACTGAGGCCCCTCGTGCAACACACGAGGTCAGAGAGAACACCCTCTTGGGCAGCCCAGGGGGCTTTGGAGGACAATGTCCTCCCAAACACAAGACCAGCCCCAGTGCTGAGGCCAGCCACCCTGGAGAGCTGTAAGTCTCCAGCCTTGAAGAGACAGGTCCGCTGACCTAGAAGGGACACCAGGGTGTGGGTCTGTGCACTGCCGTGCCTTCAGGGAACAGGGCACCTGCGGCTGGACCCTGGTTAACGTGGGGCCGCTGATTCCATCTCCACTGTGTGTTCATTCATTTGTTCCTTCATTCATTTACTCAAGAATAACTGCTGTGTCCCTTTTATGAATAAGGGCCTGTGTGGGTGCTGGAGTAGCGCTGACACGGAGCCTGTGTTCTTCCAGCAGCACAGACACACCACACTTCTAATTATACTCTCTTGGCCCCTGTGGTACACAGCTGAGATACACAGAGAACCCTGGCCCAGTCTGGGGAGATGCCCCACAAAATTCTGGCTTAAATAAATGTTATTTCAGGATGCGAAGCTGTTGTAGAATCAGAGCAGAAAGGAGGGTTAACGGTAGGCCGGGGGCAAAAGATCAAAGCCTGAAAACTGATCTGAATGGGAGAATTGAACGGCGTGGCGGGGACAGAGCAGTAGAGAGCAG